CCCCAGGATAATTGTTTTCTGAGTTATTATGAAAAATTGCTTTTTGTTTTTTAGAACATTTTTTTTCAGGCCGAAATGTGCTAACACTGACGAGGATTGAGAAAACGGAAAATTATACCTGTATTGCCGTTAGCAAACTTGGAAATATTGAAGTGATGACAACAGTTGAAGTGAAATGTAAGTTACTGGTGATTTTTAAACATTTTTATTAGAAAGTCTGAAAGCTTTTTTGGAAAAGTTAACCTTAATTTGGCGAAGATAAGCGACCACTCGGAGAGGTGGCGCTTACGAAAGATCGAACAGATGACTGGTACCAACTGGAGATGTGCAATCGGGGATCGGAGGGCTTTGCATAGTTGCACCCGACTTGTATTAGCATTCTGGAAAGATCACTGATAAAGACAATACCGCACTGATTTCCCGGGAGATCTTGGTATTCTTGTTAGTTTGATTTAGTTTTTTCAGAAAACATAGCACAAAAAAGATACATTGGAAGCACCAAATTCATACAGTGAAAGCACCAAATTTATCTACATAGATTTTGAATTGTTGAATTTGATTTGCCATGACATACAAACAACTAAATAAATACACTCACAGAAACACACTTACAAAACACACGAACATATATATAAATGCACACGTACATTCACCCATTCATACATATATGTTTCAAATGCGCATACATACATACGTAAATGCATGCTTGCACGCATACACACATACACACATGCTTACATGCATACATGCACGCACATATATATATATATATATATATATGCAATAGTAGCCTTATTACAGTGTATTTAGATTTGTCCAAAAACGTACAAAATGAAATATAAAGTTCGTTGCAGAAACCATCAATAAAATTTGGGCTGCAGAACATCATTCAAAATTAAGTTATAATGCTGTTCTTCGGCGGAGAAAAAACTTGAATATCTAAAAAAATGGTCTAGGAACAAGTGCTTTTGCTTCGGAATAACAACTCCAGATGAGCCTTTAGCATCCAGGCATCGCTTCATTTATTCAAGCAAACCTATTGATTTCGTACTTGTTTGGCCACTTTTTTTTCTTTCTCGAAAATTACGTTCTATGCTACGGTGTGTGGTGGTTGTTTGTGTGTGGCTGTGTATATGCGGTTTAGATATGCGCGTATGTGTATATATGGATGTGTGCGTGTATGTGTTTGTGGATTTACATGTATTTACATATATGTGCATATGTGTGTGAGTGTGTGTGTTTGTGTGGATGCTTGTATATGTGTGTGTTCCTCTACTGTATACGTAAGTATGTGTGTAGCGCGTGCACAAAACTTTGAAATCCTACAAAATTTTCTTCATAAAATTTGATATCTTTTCCTACCATCTGCGCCCTCGGCCGTAAGTGTTATATCTGAAGAGTTCCACAGTTCTGTCGATTTTAACGATATTTTAGATTGATAGTTACCTTGGTACTGATTTGAAATGTATGCGACTTACTGACCGAAATTTTCCAATTAAGGGCTTCTTTTTTCTTTTTCTATTGCGTTTGTTAATTTCAGTTGCTATTACTTATTAGATTAATCATCATATTTTTACTACTATTGAGTTTAATTATCATGAATTATCACAATCTTATTCGTTGTAACAGTAGATGAGCGAAAAGTACCAATATTTTTGTAATATTATTATTAATATTACTGCTCTTGAGAAGCCAAAAAAGATAATAACGATGAAAGATGATAATGATGCAAGAGGCACCAATATAAATATGAATAATTTTAGATTACTAGCTATAATCATCATAAATAACAGGTTCTTCAATTTATGGTCCTCGCATATTCCCTTCACAAATTTTCTCATATAATTTTTTTACTGTTTCAACATTATTTCTACTAATGCATTCATCCCTTTCTAATCGCACCAAAGATTAGCATCATCCATGGTAAATCACTCTTTATTGATCATTTTTCAGCGTTACCTCGTGCCCCGGAAAATCTGCAAATCTCGGAAGTAACATCACGTAGTGTTCGCGTCAGTTGGGATGCTGTATACATTGAAGATGAGCCGGTGAAAAGTTATATTGTTAAGTATCGTCAGAAGTAAGTAAATGCATTTTTGCCGCCTTCACTGATCAAAGTTCAAAAGTGCGCAGGTTAATTAACGGATAAGAGCATGGACGTTTGCAGTGTAATAAATTTTTACAAACGCATGTTATTTTTGAAAGTGCTAAAACTGCAATAAAAACATTAAAACGGCTTGTGCTAAAATTTTTGGGTAAGAAGAAACATTCTCTTCTCACAAAAAAAGAGGTTTTGAAATTTAATTGCTGGAGTGAGAGTTGAGGGGTAGAGCCCGGAAAATTAATTCGTCTGGCGTAAGTTTTTTATAGTTTGAGGTTTTAATCAAAGTGGTACAAAAATTTGTCAAAGGAACCGAAAAATTTGAGTAAGTAATTGCAAACTTCAATTAAGAGATTAAAATTAACTGGAAGTCCACTGAGAGTTGCTTGCCTTAGCTGACCACTTAAGCGAATTCCTCTTATGCTAGCACACACTGGCAACCACTAGAAGAAAGACGTGTGTGAAAACATAGGAATTCCCATTGATATCGCGCTTGAAGAGCAAAGAAGGATAGCCATATTTGTAGTGATATCATAGTGATAATTTTTATGAAAGCGAAATCTAATATACGAAGACATTTGAGCATCAGTGTGGGAGTCCCATGCTGCTGATGTTTCTGGGATGCTCCGGCGCGCCGGCTGCAACCACGCTAGGCCCTTTAGTTCTGAACCGCATATTTCCAGTTAATACCCACTGCCCTCATTTTATATATGCGCACCACCTCTTAGAAAACTGCGTGAATCAATTACTTACTCGAAGGTGCCATTCACTAATAAAAGTTGTCCGCTGGTTGCCTGTATTCTTACATTTTTGATATTTTTTTTTTTGTTTTGCATGATAATAGTTTGCGGTGTATTTTCTTGCGGTGTATTTTCTAATTCTCTTTGAAGGATTGCTGTTGTTGCTCCATCGCCTGTGCTTCCAGCTGCTGACCTCGAGTAAGTTCTGTTGCATTAATAACAGTAACTTATCCCAAAACGTAACATATTTTCAAAATCTAATTCATCACCTTAATTTGTTACGCATTATTAGTTTCGTGAGAAGGACAGTTTATTTTTGCGCTTTTCTTGCATTTTCGCTTACATGCAAATTGCAAAAACAGATATCGCAAGAGGCTCTGTGTATGTGTGTCTGTGTGTGTTCGCACTTTTTGTCACCCATTTAAAAATCGAGAATCAGAAAAGCTAGAAGGCTGAAATTTGGGAGTAAGTGCCTATGCCACGTGCGATCCTCTCATCTTAATATCATTCCCCGCGTAAGCTTGCCTGGGTGCAGCGTACGGATGCCTTAAGAAAATACGCAACTTTTTTGACGGGAAAGCGATTTCGGCAACCAGACAAGGCAAGGGGCTGAAACTTTGTAGGGATAATCCTTGTGCATGAGAAAAAGATTTCAAGCGCAGTCTCCAGGTGTGCACAGTACTCAGATGAGGGCGTATGAAATATATGGCGGGAAAATCACTAACTCGAGAACCAGGAAAACTAAAAAGCTGAAATTTTTGGAGGAATGTTCCGTATCTGAGTACAACTTAAATATTTCGAATTCAGTGTTCAGATATGCGTGGTTCTCAAGCACGGGCACTTGAAAGTTTTGGCGAGAGAATTGCTCACTGAACAACTAGGTTACTTTCAAAGAGCGACCTCTTCCGAGTTCGAGCTTATTTTATACATTCAGTGCGAGATGGAGTCGCAACATAATTGATGAAAATGCATTATCAGAAAATTCTTAACATATTTGCATCCTGACTTATAAATACAATTTAGGCTAAGATTATGGCTCAAGAATCGAGACAAAGAAGTGAATTCGAAATTTTAGTACCTTTGTTTAGACAGAGATTTAAAAATTGTTATGATAAGATGAAAACGGTTTACTTATATCTTCACACTCTTTTTTATTGTTTTTTTGTATCACAATAATTTATCGCAAAAACGACCACTAGCCCGGTCGTTTGATTCTCCCTGCTAATCGTGCGCTTCTGTTCAACTGAAGAATGTGAAAATTTATCAAGCACTTTTTTAGGTACGGTGAGGGTTCATTCAAAGAAAAAGAAGTTTATGCCAATGTCACAAATACAATTATCAGCGATTTGAAACCTTTCCAAGTCAGTAGAAAATTACCATTTATAATTAGGGTGCTTGGATCATCTGTATTTCATAGTCTAATTTTCCAGCTATATAGGTGATAAATTTTTCCTGTTGCTTTGATCGTTGCTACCTCACCTAGTCATCAGCCTACTGACGAACTCAGTGGTCAGCTCAGCTTTTCTAGTTATCTTCATTTTTAATAGCGTTATTCGTTATTGTGATAGGGATGCGATAATTCAAAAGAAGGAAGCAAGAAGGCGGGGAAGTGGATGGAAAGAACTTATTAAAAAAAAAATTTAACGCTTCATTTTAGAAATTCTGAACTTATTTTTGGAAGGGTCTATTAAAAATTCTTTACAATCTGAAAAAACAGAAAGCAGAGGATGAGGGATGGGGAGGGAGACAAGAGGAAGAGAGCGGAAAGATGTAAGAGAGGGGTTTTTCCGGAAGTATATAAGAATTTTTATAGCTCTATGAAATCGCGGTAGTAGCCGTTAGTGCAATTGGACGCAGCATTGCAAGC